GGTAAGTTCTAGCCCCATTTTAGGTATTCCAATCAGTTATAGGTTGAAGATGGCTTACAAGTTTTCTTTGGTGATATTTCTGGCTGTTCTTTTCTCTCATCTTCAAGTGTCTATTTTACAATAGCAGGTAAGGGAAACCAAAATTCAAAAGGCAACCAAGTATCTTAACATCATTTCCCCACTTTTATTCATTCAAACAATGCTTCAATCCTTATATCCCAGAGCCCTGTATTCCAAGGTTGTGTTTACATCGTTATTTACCTCTGTCCTATTTAGGCCATGTAAACCTTCCTAACTCTTCTCTCATCTGCCTTGTTCTTCCTTTCCTCTTCCCCTTCTAGCATATGTGCCCACCCCCCCACCCCTCAGTACCCAAACTGTCCTGAGTCTATTCCGTAGCCTGTGCTCCATTGTTGTTGTTTGTTGTTAGGTGCTATCAAGTCGGTACGGACTCATCGCTACCTTGTGCACAGCAGAATGAAACATGGCCCGATCCTGGGCCAACTTCACTATTGTTGTCATGCTTGAGCCCATCGATGCTGCCACTTGGCCAATCCATTTTGCTGGGGGTCATCTTCTTTTTCTCTGACAATCCACCTTACCAAACATGATATCCTTCTCTAGCCACTGGTCCCTCCTGACAATATGTCCAAAGTATGAGAGACGAACTTTGGCCATCCTGGCCTCCAAGGAGCACTCTGGCTACACTTCTTCCAACACAGATCTGTTGGTTCTTTTGGCAGCCCATGGCATTTTCAATATTATCCTCTAACACCACAACTCAAAAGCATCAATTCTTCTACAGTCTTCCTTATTCACTGTCCAGCTTTCACATACATATGAGGTTCTTGAAAATATCATGGCTTGGTCAGGCACACCTTAGTATTCACCTTAGTGCTCCACTCTCCTGTGTCTATTCCCTACCCTGTGCTCCAGCTACCCCTCCCTCCCCTCACCCCACTCCATACACCTGTTCTCTTTTTGAGTTTGCCATGGAAATTAACTTTACTTTGAGGAACAAGTTCTTCCCCAGTAATTTTTTGAGTACCTTCTAATCTGAGGAGCTCATCTGGCACTAGATCAAAAAAAAGTTAATGCTGTTCTCTGTGATTTAGTTTTAGCAATGGACTGTCTTTTCCTTCTTCCAGGTCTGTCTTCATTTAGGCACTTTGCTGAAACCGGTCCATCATGGTTGACCCTAGTGATTTTTGAAATAATGGTGCCATAGTTTCCATCATTACACCAACACATATGCCACCATAGTACAACAGACTGATGAGTTATGGTAATACATCATCTGTTCAATATTCTTTAGTAACACCTAAATTCAAAGGCACCAATTCTGTTTTGGTCTTTCTGATTTATTTTTTCTACCTCTTGCATGTTTTTGAGGTAACTGAATATAGTAGTGTTTTGGTCATGCACATCTTAGTGACATGAACTTTGTTGGTTTTTAACACTGTAAAGAGGTCTTTTGCAGCAAATTTGCCAATTCAGTATGTTATTTGATTTCTTGACTGCCGCTTCCATGAATGTTGATTGTAGCTTAAAGTAAAATAAAATCCTTGACAACATCAATATTTTCTCCATTAATCATGATTTTGCTTGGAGGAACACTCATTAAAAATTTGTGACACAATCTTTCTGAATGGGAGAAGAACTTGAAGCATTACTTATGAAGGTCAGAGACCTTCAATATGGATTATACTACAACATTAAGAATATCAATAATCCTTTTTAATATCATACTGTCAGATGATCACTGGATTGCTAACCACAAGGTTGGCAGTTCAAACCTATCAGCCTCTCATAAGAAACCCTGTACAGGGTCTCTGTCAGTTGGAACTGACTCAGAGACACTTACTAGAGTAAAAATCCTGCCTCATAAACAAACAGAAGGCAGAGATTAGGTTTTACAACACATAGTACAAGTACATCAGTTCACAAAGTGTAGGATAATTGCACGCTACTGGTAATCATGGCCTATGCAAGTTGACATGCATGTGTTTTAGGGAAACACAATTTAATTCATGACAGTGGTCAAAGAGTAAACCCAGTAGAGATGAAATGTTTAACTCACCTTCTGTCCTGCACCATGTCTAACACTTCTATTATGATGCAGCCAAGTTTTGGGGTGCAATACAAGAACAAGCAAGTTGCTTGCTCAGAAAACATCAAGGCAAGTGGTCGGGTCCCCTCAGTGCAAACCCCCTCCCAAGACTAAGACTCAATGGGAATACACGCTCTGATTGGTGACCATGCTCGTCACTGATAAGGGGAAGTGAGGGAAAAACAGCAATGAAGTGGTGAGCTAAGCCCTACAATGTTCAGTAGACTTCTGTG